CATTACCATCCCTCTCATTCCGGATGGTTCACATTCTGTCCAAGACGACACCCTGTCCTTCCTACCACAGCCCCTGGCGCTAGCATCCCCTTCCTCGGAGCTGCTTCAGGGCCACAAGTAAGCAGTCTGACCTACGACCTGAATTCACCTTCCAAACAGCCTGCAATGTCTCTTGCCTACCAGCTGGAAACCTGGGTGGTCCTTTTGGGTTTCTCAGCCACTCCTGGTAGGGCTCCCTCTGGCGTCTCAGCAGGGTAATACACAAAGTCTTTTTTTTTTTTTTTTAAAGATTTATTTTTATTATTTTGTTATTGGAAAGGCGGATATACAGAGAGGAGAGACAGAGAGGAAGATCTTCCATCCGATGATTCACTCCCCAAGTGAGCGCAACGGGTCGATACTACGCCGATCCGAAGCCAGGAGCCTCTTCCGGGTCTCCCACGCGGGCGCAGGTTCCCAAAGCCTTGGGCCGTCCTCGACTGCTTTCCCAGGCCACAAGCAGGGAGCTGGAAGGGAAGCGGGGCTGCCGGGATTAGAACCGGCGCCCATATGGGATCCCGGGCGTGCAAGGCGAGGACCTTTAACCACTTGCGCCACCGCGCGGGGCCCCACAAAGTCTTTTAAAGGACTTGGCATTTTTCAATGGCAGTTATCAATGAAACCTGTAATGGAAATTTTGTTCTTGTCACACTTCAAGGTCTCTGCTGGGCCGTGAGGCACCTGCCTCACCGCTCAGTTAGCCTCACTCAAGTGTTACACAACTTGTCCGCTTCCACTCAGGCTTAGAGAGTTCTTTCTACTCCTTCTTTCTATTCCCTTTCTGTTATTCCAAGAGGTCGCAGGGTTCACATATAGGTCCACTTCATCTTCCCACCTACTACAAAACTCTTAGAATAATATGGGAATCTTTTGTCCTTAAGAGGTACATTACTTTACTGAAGGACTGACAGGGCCAAAGCAGTTCTAAAGTATTGGGCAAGCACTTACAAAGTATTTACTAAACATGACATGTACCCTTGTGTCTTCAAAATGAGGACTTGCCATGTAACGCTCTGACATGGAGGAGGAAACGGCAACCAGGATCAGTGATATCCGGCAACTGTTCACACACTCCCTGTACGCAGCCACGCTCCCCTGGTTCGCTCCGGCTGAGCATCCTGACACTATCACCACTGCTCTGGAAGGTTCCATCTCCTATCTGGAACATCAAGAACATTCCCCCACTCCCTTCTTGACCAAGGACTGTGAAAGCCTCAGGGACTTGACGTACCATCTTTCAACATTCCTCTTGCCTGTTTTGCAGCCACTCAAGCATTTTTCTGGATTCCAAAATCCCACTGGCAACTTCCCAAAAAGTTAAATGCAAATTAGGTCTTGCAGATCATTGCTGATCCTCACTCTAAGACTTCTAATCTCTCTTCTGCAAGACTTGTCATGTTTAAGTTTCTCTGCCTCTCTGTTACCTCTGTCAGCCTCTCTGATGATTAAACTTCATTTGGAAAATGAAGACAAAGGAAACATTGACTTCTTCTTTTTTAAGATTTTTTTTTCCAATTGGAAAGTCAGATATACAGAGAGGAAGAGCGACAGAGAAGAAGATCTTTCATCCACTGGTTCACTCCCCAAGCGGCCGCAATGGTTAGAGCTGAGCCAATCCGAAGCCACCAGCCAGGAGCTTCTTCTGGGTCTCACATGTGGGTGCAGGGTCCCAAGGCTTCAGGCCCTTCTTGACTGCTTTCCCAGGCCACAGGCAGGAAGCTGGATGGGAAGTGGAGCTGCTGGGATTAGAACCGGCACCCATATGGAATCCCGGTATGTGCAAAGCAAGGACTTTAGCCATTAGGCTACCGCACCAGGGCCCACATTAACTTCTTTTAGCTCTTTTTCTTTTCTAATCTTTATTTATTTGGGGCCAGCATTGTGACATAGCAACCTAAGACTCTGCCTGCAATGTCAGCATCTCATATGGGTGCTTATTCAAGACGGAGCTGCTCCACTTCCCAACCAGCTCCCTGCTAATGCACCTGGGAAAGCAGCGGAAGATGAGCCAAGTGCTTGGCTCCCTGAACCCAAGTGGGAGACCCAGAAGAAGCTCCTGGCTCCTGGCCTGTCCAAGTCTGGCTGTTGTAGCCACTTGGGGAGTGAACAAACAGATACAAGATTCTCTCCTCCTATCTCCGTAACTCTGCCTTTCAGATAAATAAAAATATATATATTTTTAAAGACTTTAAAATCTTTATTTCTTTGAGAGGCAGATTTGCAGAGAGAGAGAAGGACAGAGACACAGAGAGGTGTCTACTAGATTACTTCCTTAAATGACTGCAACAGACAGGGCTGGGCCAGGTCAAAGCCAGGAGCCTGAAGCTTCGTCTGGGTCTTCACCTGGTTGGCAGAGCCCCAGCACTTGGCCCATCTTCTGCTGCTTTTCCCAGATGCATCAACAGGGAGCTGGATCAGAAGTGAAGCAACCAGGACTCAAATTGGCACTCACATGGCTTTACCCATAATGCCACAACCCCGGCCTGTCTTCTGGCTCTAAAAGTACAGGATCTACAAATAGACTCATGAATATAGGAGAAACTCCTAGTGGGAAAAGACACCAGGCACAGACTATCTGCAATGCAAATACCCATTCTACGTGCAGTTTGGAGGTAGGGGGCCTTTCCAAGGGTCTCTGGAGTTCTCGCAGCCCTCCCTGCAGGGGTAGCAGATGCATCTTAGTTGTAACTGGGTTGGTACTAGTCCCTGTGCTTTCCACTTCCCTGTGCTTTACCACTTCCTGGTGTCACATTCCAGAGCCCTTCCTACTCAAGGAGATGGGTCTGGGGAATCCTGTGTGGAGCCCATGACCCACAACAGAAAGCACTCGCTAAGCCGAGATGAAACAAGTTGCTAGGTAGGCACCTTAGCGCTGGTCTCAGGTAATGGAGTTAAGCAAGTGCACGTGTGTCATAGGTCTGAGGGCTGCTTAGGTGGTCGCCTTTGTAGTCTTTGAACTGGAACCAGAGATATTATTAGTGCTGATAGGGGAGGGGGTTGCCTGCTTAATGACAAGGAAAATGAATAATCCAAGCATTCTTCCATCCTGTGTTCTCCAGGCTGGTATTTTGATATAAAAATATACATATATAGCTGCAGCTGTTTGCATATTGTGGAAGTGTGTGTGTGTGTGTGTGTGTGTGTGTGTGTGTGTGTGTGTGTGTGTGTGTGGTTTCGTGTTTACAGATTTGGGGTTTTGGAGGGGAGTTTCCAGAGCAACGGAAGTAGCTAGCTGCTTGTCAGTCAGGGTTCATTTTGAAAATGAAAGTCTGAAAGCTTGGGGCCTACTCTGGCTTGGGGCTTGGTCTCTGAGGACCTAGCAAAGCCAGAAGGTGGCTTTGGCTAAGCAGCTCAAGGAAGAAATCACTTAATCACTACCTTCTTTACCTTTAGGAACGGGGCCTATGCACACATGAGCTGCTCTTCATATCCGACAGATCCCATGTGTGGCAGGGAGAGGGAGAATGAGCACCAAGGCACGTGGCTCTGTGGCTCAACACACGGCATCATGGTTTTCCAGGATGCCTGAGTTAAACCAGCTAGGCTTGTCAGAGTTTGAGCAACATGTCACAGCAGGTGGAAAGAGATATAGCACAAGGTCTCCTATGGTGGCTACAAAAGGAGTCTGAGCAACAGAGGCTTGGGGTTAAGCCATGGTGGCTGCCTAGGGAAGGGGGGACCGAGGCCACCCTTGAAAGACGAGGAGAATGGCACTAGACAGAAGCTGTGAGCCAAGCAGCTCCTACTGGAGGAGCACAGGTTAAAGAAAGGCTCCGCTTGGCTGGAGGTTAAGACTTGGGTGAATGAGCTGCTGTTGATAAGCCTGGCTTGAAGGCCAGTCCGTTTGTGCCAGGGAGAAAAAAAAAAGCGCTATGGTGGCAAACAGATCAGCTCTGACACTTCCTGCTGAGTGACCTTGGGCAAGTGGTCTAAGCTCTTGGCAAAATGGAGACAGTCGTGCTGTTTAGCCCTTAGGGCCACCGGGAGTATTGTGAAAGTGCACACATGTAGAGAGCATGTGGCACAGTGTCTAGAACACAGCACAAGTTCAGGTACAGGCTTCAAATGCATAAGCTGCCATGGAGGAAAGCTCCAGCGACTCAGGTGCCAAGTATCTGACAGCTAAGAAGGAAGGGCTCTGTCACCTTCCATCACTGGTGCCATTGCTGGGGCAAGAAGAGTGCATCGGCTTGGTCTCAGCCCCCCACTCTCTCTGGTCTGGGCTGCTGTAAGTCTCCTGACTTCCTACCGTCCCTGGCTCAAAAATCTCCCTCTTACTCCCTGACGGAACTCCTCCAAAATGATGAAGAGCAGGAGACAAGAGAATTCTGCTCCGGTTTTATAGAAAGCTGCGCGTCCCAACAGCGGAGAAGGGGCTGCCCCTCAGAAGAGGGCAGTGTTCCCGCGCGCAGGTTTCCCGTCCCCTGTAGCTGCCACTTCAAGCCAACCTGGGAAAGTTAATGAGAACTGAGAGAAGAAAGGGGAGTCTCTGTTCCCTGGAAGAGCTTCTGTCTGGACCTCCGGTGCCTTGGGTCTCTTCCCTGGAATCCTCCGTGAGCGCGGTCGCTGCGGGGAGGATGAAGGCCATGCAAAGGGCAGGGCAGCCGAGCCAGAGTCACAAGGGGACGGCCAAGCAGCCTGCGCGTGAAGGCTAGGCGCTGGAGTAAGGCGGTTCGGGGACAAAGTGCAGGGAGATTCCTGCTGAGATAAGAGGGAAGGGCAAAGAAGGGGGGCGGAGAGTGAGGGCACAGAGCGTTCAAAGATCAGGCTCCCCTCGGGGAAAGCTGAGGTCAGCCCGGCGGGGAGGGGCGCCCTAGAGCCCCTTCCCGTGGGCAGCGAACGGGATGCTTAAAACCCGGGCTGCCAGGGCAGCCGCCCGCCCAGGTCCGCGCGCCCCGCCCCTCGCGCAGGGGGCGGGGCTGGCCGCTCACCTGGCCGTTCCGGGCGGAGCCGCCCCTGACTCCGGGCAGCTGCTTAGGCGGTGGTACCCCGGGAGCTGGAGCGGGGCTGGCCCTGGTAGCTCGGTGGCAGCTCCCAGCCCTCCACGCCCCCCACCGCCCTGCGGCGCCCTCCGTAGCTCTCTCGCTTCCTCCCTCTTCTCCTTCACTCCCTCCCTCGGAACCCAATTGCTCAAGCCGCTTCCTTCTCCAGCGCCAGCGCCAGTTCCCCTCCCGGTGGGGCCCGGGACGGGGCAGCGAACGGTAGACGCTGGAAGGGCTCTGACGGCAGCTGCGAGACCATGGCCGAACCCCCGGGGTCCCCGGACCCCGCGTCCAAGGCCTCTCTGGGGCCCGCTGCGCAGAGCCTGCGGGGAACTCCACAGCTGCGCCGCTCGAGAGTGGACACCGGTAGCTTGGGCAGGTACAGGGGCAGCGTCACCGCCGGCCTCCCCCTCCGGGAGTGCCCCTCCCAGGGCTCGCTGATGCTCTCCGGAACCGGCTCGGCGCGCCGGCGGGGAGCGTTGCGGGAACTGCTGGGGCTGCAGGGGACGGCTCCCGCCCGGTGGCTATCGGAAGAACGCACGGAGGATCCGGCGGCCGCGGGAGGACCCAGCAGCTCAAGTGGCCCGGGAGGCAGCGGGCTGTGCCTGGAACCGCGGGAGCACGCGTGGATCCTGGCGGCCGCCGAGGGTCGCTTTGAGGTGCTGCAGGAGCTGCTGGAAGCTGAGCCGGGACTGCTGCTGCGGTGCGACCCGATCTCAGGTTACACGGTGCTGCACTGGCTGGCCAAGCACGGGCGCCACGAGGAGATCATCCTGGTGCACGACTTCGCCCAGCGCCGGGGTCTGCGGCTCGACGTGAGCGCCGCTGGCAGCGGTGGGCTCACGCCACTCCACCTGGCCGCCATACAGGGCCACGACATGGTCATCAAGGTACTGGTGGGAGCCCTAGGCGCTGACCCCACGCGCCGCGACCACAGCGGCCACCGGGCGTGCCACTACCTGCGGTCCGACGCGCCGCAGAACCTGCGGGAGCTGTCGGGGGCTGAGGACTGGGAGGCGACCAGCGTCCGGGAACGCGGCAACGCCAACAACAACAGCAGCAGCACCGCCACTGCATGGACGCTGAAACGGACCTTGAGCTCAGCGGGCGCCACGGCTGTGGGGACAAGCAAGAAATCGACGTCAACACGAGCCAGGGAGAAGAACACCGCGGGCAGCCGGGTGGCGCACATTCACGGCCTTCTCCGCCAGCTGTTTCCCTTCTTTCAGGACCGTTGAGGGGGCAACGGGAACTTGAGAGCTCTGAGAGGAGACGCCAATGCTGCAGCCAAGACTCCACCCCGGGTTATCCCGGGTCGCACTCAGGGAGAGATCACATAGGGAGGGCCCACCCCCCTCCTCTCTCAGGTACCTGTCCCAGACGGGAGGGCCCTGGCAGTAGGGCACTCCCTAACCAAATGGGAGCCCACGTCCCAGCGGACCGGGAGCCAGTCCCAAAGCTTCAGAACTGAGAAGTCAGGACAGGAAGGGGGAAAGGTCAGCGTCCTGCAGCCACTTGTGGGCGGGCAGAAGCGCTGGGTTTGTTAGGAAAGAATCTCTGAAAGAATGACTGGAGACTGAGACAGTGGCTGCAGCGGCAACGCCCCACAGCCTTCCTAAGGCAGGCTTCCTAAGGGGTCCGGAGATGAAGGTAGAGCCAACCCCCAGGCCACCTGCTCCTGAGACTACCACACCTTAGCCTGCTATACATCCCAGTGTATCAAGGATGATTTCTCTAGTTCATTAAAGTCAGATGCTTTTTCCACTCACATGACAAGGCTGTCCTTTGAGTGCCTTTTTTTTTTTTTCTGTTTTAGCCAGAGAGGGAAAAGCTGAAAGGAAGAGGTCATTAACCCATGACCACAAGCTAATGACCCCAGGACAGACTGGGGCCTCATTCTTAGAGCAAATGGCCAGAGCCCTGCAGAGCTGGAGCTGGGGCGGGAAGTGGGGGGAGCGGGGATGGCTGAGGGCAGGGTTCTTTTAACCAGTTGATGAAAATGCTTATTATGTGAAAACCCCACTTGCATTTCGAGCCGCCAGGATAAACTTATCTGGGAGAATTTTTGAAGTTCCCTAGTCCTTTTTCTGGCTCTGAGTTAGATTCACAGTTCACCTGTCTCTGGAACTTTAGGTCAGGGTCCTGGAGCAGTATAAGGCAAAAGGCTCATTTATATTTCTCAGGTTTTTCAGTGAGCCATGAAATTGATCTTGACTTTGTGCCCTACAGTGAGACACAACTCTGATCTCCTTCCATCCCCCCATCCCCAAGATAGGGCTTTCCTTGATAGCTTTTGTTTGTTTTAAAGATTTACTTATTTTTATTTGAAAGGCAGAGTTACAGAGAAGAGAGACAAATGGATCTTCTATCAGCTGGTTCACTTCCCAAATGACTACAATGGCCAGAGCTGGGCCAGTCCAATGCCAGAAGCCAGGAGCCAGGAGCCTCCTCTAGGTCTCCCGCATGGATGCAAGAAGGACCCAGGGAATTGGGCCATGCTCTGCTGCTTTCTCAGACACATTAGCAAGGAGTGGGGTTGGAAATGGAGCAGCCAGGACTAGAATTATCACCCATATGGGATGCTGGCATTGCAGATAGAGGCTTAACCTGTTATGCCATGGCACCAGCCCTGAAGGCTTTATTATTATTATTATTATTATTATTATTATTATTAACTTTAACAAGTAAGTTGTAGTTTGGAAACTTGCTCCCATTCAGAAGCAGCATGAATTAAACAGAGGAGATTTGACTCAGCATGGAAGGAGAGAAAACAGTTGGCCGCCAGAGACTCACGCTGTGTTAGAGAACAGCATATTTTAAAAATAGCACTGAAAGAGGAGACTTTGGGGGGGAAAGTTTGTGCAAAATAGAATTAAAAGATAAGTTTATTTTGGTGCACAAACTTTTGGAATTTGTGCATAAAAGAGACCTTCAAGAAGTTTCTTAAAATTGCATGTTTTTTTTTTTAAAAAAAAAAAAAAACCTGTGCAACGGATGTCAGGTTTTTTTTTTTTTAACGCTAAAAAAATTTACCTCAATTTTTTTTTTTTTAGCTCCTAATTCTATTGGGGCGCAAACTTGTTGACATACCCTCATTTCACTGGAGTCAGACTGACTATAGTGCTCCCCAGCCCTCTCATCCCAGTGTTCGAACACCGGAAAGAAACATAGTTGCTGCAGAACAGCCTAGAAACATTGCCCTGAGCCCATGCATCCAGATTTTCCATCTCTGCCCAGTGGTCTACTCGCTTTCTTTCTGCTGGAGATTCTCCTTCATTCCCTGAATACTCCAGTCATTTCTTCTCATACATGAAATGACCCAAGGCCTTGCTGGTGTTCCTTTCAGCTGGCACCTTATCCCTAGGAACTACACCTTAAGCATATTTACACAGGGTAATATAGCATTTCCTTTTTCTTCCACGTGAACTTCTTTTCTTTGATGACTGAAGGAAGGAGAATAAGCAGTTTCTAGATTCTGGCCCGTGGCAGAGGCATATGGTAATAACACCCCCTCCACCTGCGTTGTAGATAGGGCTATCTGAGGCAGGACTGTGGTTCTTTTGGCACAGCCTCCTTTTTGACAGCCGCCATGGTGGGTTGGGCTTGGTGAAAGCTGTCAGAGGCAGGGCTTCCTGCCACATGGCTGGGTCTGCGGGTGCCCAGAGTTGAAGGGAAGATGGAGCCTTCCTCTTTCTAGGGAAGGTTTGAACATAAGCATCTTAACTATTCACAGATTTAGGGACCTGAGACAAGCATCCACCACCCTGCTCTGTGCAGGATGAAAACCAAGTCACTGGAAAGCAGCTGCCTGTAGTTTTTCCTGTAGTCAGCTATTCTGCCCACATAGATTTTTTCTCATCATGTGACATTGCCTAGCCTAACTCCTCTATGTCAAATTGAGGTTTGGCTACAGGGGACACACACTCCCATGCTGAAAACACTCCACGCCTCACATCAAGCCATTGGCATTTCTGGTATGCTCTTCGAGGCAACATTGGTATGCTTATCCCAGGAGAAAGAGCAAATTCCCCGAGAAACCTTTCCAGTAGAGCAAAGAGGACCTAAGCAGAGGATGCACAACCGCGTTCTAGCCAGGGATACAGGCAAGCAAAGGAGACAGAGGTAGGGCTGCAACCAAAAGCCTGGGGGCTGGGGGAAAGAGTGCAGAGGAAGGACCGAGCACAAGTCCTGGCCCCAGGTGCAGGAAGGTAAATGCCTCTCAGAGGCTGAAGGACTGGGTGGGAGTTGCCCAAAGATGCCGCCAGTACCAGGAACTGCAGTCAGCGGGCTGGCAGGAGGCTGGTGAGTGGGCAGTGGCTAACAGCAAGGCTGGAGAAATGGACTAGGGTCAGAGCAACTAGGGTCTCCTAGGTCATGCTAAAAGAGGAATGTAGATTTTCACCAAAGGATAGCTGGGCATCATGGGAGTTTCCAGGCAGAGAAGCGTGCATGATAACTCCTTTGCCCTAATGAAGTTTATCTAGAAGCCCTGTGGGTAGAGTTGACACATGTGGGGCTTCCCAGGTTGAAATTGAATTAGGCTCGTCCCTTCTGACCCCCTTCCTCTACTCCAGGCTGAAACAGAGACAATGCTTCCCACCCTAAACAAAACTCAAGACCAAAGGTGAGGACTCAGCTTAACTTGGATTCTAGTCCTGACTCCTGCTTAGTGACTGAGCAAATTCATCAGTACAATGGGAGCCACACAATCTCCTTTGCAGGGTTGCTCAGAGGCTTTGAGAGTACAGGTGTGGAACAGCTAGCACACTGCATGACACTAAGAAGTAGTAAAGGCCATCACTTTAAAAGGACCCAAAGGGGTTCTCATATCTCTGGGGTAGTCCAGGACCAGGATGAAACTGATGGCTTGCATAATCCCAGCTGCTGCTTTTTTTTTTTTTTTATGAGTTGTTTGTTTGAAAGATAGAGTTACAAAAAGAGAAAGAGAGGGAGAAACAAAAGCTTGTCCTGCACTCACTGGTTCAATCCCCGGATGGCTCCAATGGCCAGCACTGAAGCCAGTAGTTTCATCTGAGTCTCGCACATGGGTGCAGGAGCCCAGACGCTTGAGCCATCCTCTACTACTTTTCCCAGTCATTAGCAGGGAGTTGAATAGAAAGTGGAACAGCCAGTGCTAGAACCAGTGCCGACATTACAGGCAGCAATGTCTTTACCTGCTACGCCATAACATTGGCTCCCAATAATCCTTGCTTTCAAACACTTCATGTAAATAGGCTAGGGATTTACCATCTGTGCCAGACCACTGACCATTCATCAAAGGACACGTTGGCTCTTCTGCTGATTCTTCTCAACCTTTGTGTTTGCCCTTTAAACATAACTATCACTAACTTACTTTGTTTTCCACCACAGAAATAAAAGAAATAAGGGTTAGTGTTGTGGAACAGCAGGTTAAGCCACTGCCTGTGATGCCAGCATCCCATATGGACGACGGATAGAGTCCCAGCTGCTCCACTTCCAATCAAATCCTCTGCTAATAGCCTGGGAATGCAGCGGAAAATGGCCCAAGTGCCTGGGTCCCTGCACTCACGTGGGGAACTGGGATGGAATTGTTGGCTCATAGCTTCGACCAGGCCCATCCCTGGCCACTTGCAAAAGTGAACCATTTGCAAAAGCCATTTGCAAAGTGAACCAACACATGAAAGGTCTCACCCTCTTTCTGTAACTTCTGCCTTTCAAATGAAAATGAGAAAGTGTCTGTGAAATAACAAATACACTGAGCATTACTTACAGGATAAAATCATAAACTAGAATCAGGGCTAGAGCTGAGCTCCTCTGAAAAGAATAAAAACATGTAAGCCCTTTATCTCCTAGCCTATTTATCTACAGCAGTGGCCCCTCTGCCCTGACCAACATACCATATGTTCCACACCCAGCCTTCCTATCTTCCTGCCCTCTCTTCATTTTCACATTGAAGGTGCCATCATCTGCCTGTCCTCTTGCAGGGTTTAACTCATGCTCTCAACCCCCTCTCCTCCAGCCGTCTGCTACCCTCACTTGTCCTTCTCCTATAGCATCAAGCTCAACCTCATATAGTGTATGTACTTCAGTGCAATATATACTAATGAAGTGGCTACTAGGAGTTTCACCCTGACTGAGAAACAGGCTCAAAACCTCCAACCTTACGGCTCTCTCTTTTCTTGTCACACCCAGCCTCTCTAAGGGAAGTGTCTCCTCCTGATTGCTTCTATTTCCTTAGTTCATTCACACCTCCGTTTTGTGTATTCTGGCTTCCTTTTCCACCATCCCAGAGCAATTGCTACTAGCAAGGGGCCCCATGATAACCTTCCTGACTTAGTCCATTCCTGCTGCTGGAAGAAAATGTCTTAATACTAGAGACTTTATGAAGAGTATACATTTACTGCTTACAATTTGGGATCTGGAGAGCTCAAGGCGAAGGTGCCAGCCAATTCAGTATCTGCTGCTCATTTATAGTGCCTTTCTACGGGCCTGACATGATGGCTCTGTAGCTAAACTCTGACCTTGCACATGCCAGAATCCCATAAGAGTGCCAGTTCATTTCCCAGCTGCTCCACTTCCCTTCCAGCTCCCTGCCTGTGGCCTGGGAAAGCTGTCGAGGACGGCCCAAAGCCTTGGGACCTTTCCCCTGTGTGGGAGACCTGGACGAAGCTCCTGGATCCTGGCTTCAGATTGGCGCTGCACCGGCTATTGCAGTCACTTGGGGAGTGAACCATCAGAAGGAAGATCTTCCTCTTTGTCTCTCCTCCCCTCTGTATATCTGCCTTTCCA